CTTTCCCTAAGTATTTACCTTTTTAATCTTCACACATTATTTCAATATTTTACTTTGGCCTGATCCATGGTATCTTAGACAAAACCTTCAATCTAGTAGGACTTTTAAAGAATAGCTATAAAGAGGCAAACTCATTCTAACTGTATATCTTCAGTCAGAGAAGTGATACCCAAATGGCAAATAATCGAAAATGTTGTTATTATTTTTTTTGAAAGGTTTTTGCTATAGTGCTTGTGCGCTTGCCAGAAGACAGAAAGAGACAGAGACAGAAGGTGAGAAATCACCCCCCAGGGGGGATGGACACACCGCAATCCCTTCTCCTCCATTCTCTTCTCAGGATCTTGGGCATGCATGCACATGCACCCGGCGTGAGTTTAAACTGCTGGGTCCAGGACTTGAACTGTGGTCGACTACATGGGAGTCCAGCAACATAGCCATTAGGCCATCTGCTGGTCCCTCGATGTTATTTTAAACTTTCGATTCTTTCTTAATTCACTCTCCTCCCCAAAAGTAAAAAAACAAAACAAGATAAAACCCAACAATATTAAAAATAATTTATTTTCATTTTTCATCTTGTGGTATAAAAAAAACCCTAAAATATAAAGAAGATAAACATTATAACATAACCTCTTGGTCCAGTACTGTAGCCTAGTGATTAAGGAAGCTAGATCCCATATGACTGACCGGGATTTGAATCATAGCCTAACAGCTTGAAAATCATGCCAGGCATGTGTGTGTGCATGCCTCAGATCCTGACAGGATGGAGAAATGGAGGAGCAGGGATTATGGTGTGACCATGCCCCATTGAGGGGTGTTTGTCCTCCACCCACTGCCTCTGTCTTCAGCAAGTACATTTGCTCACTAGCTATTAAAGAGAATTATAATTTCACTACCCAGGGATAATCTTCCAGTATTCTTATGAAATATCTTTCTATTAACATGTATGCTTGGATGTATAATGACCATTTTTAATGACCTCAACATAACAGAATCATGCTTTTGGAGGGTCACACTTACGTGTTTCCCATGGTATCCAACCTTTTTCTGGATATCCTTATACTTTGTATAGATAATTGCCTTCTTATTGTAAAGCCATAGAAATAGATTTCCTGTGTTAAAGGATATACTACATGTGGATTGTCAATTTGTCCTCCAGACAGAGAAGAGCAATTTACTTTATCAACAGTAGAATTAAACTGTGTGCATTGGTCTTTTTAAAACAAAACAAAACAAAACAAAAAACCAAAATAAACTATTTTCTGTCTCTCAAACAGATAAGATTGTGTCCACAGAGTTGTGTTTTCATAGATTCTTAATATATGCTATTTTAATGATGGTAACTAACAGTGAGCAGTGAGTTAATGCCTTCTGTCTCTGTCTCTCTTCAGATGGAGTCCATTGCCTCACCTGTGCAATGATGCTTCTTAACACGGATTTACACGGCCATGTAAGTGCAGATCTGTGAAGCCGTCTTACAGAAATCCAAAATGTCTTGAGCTTATCATTGCTTTTGTGTCCTCATCCATTTATTCTGTCTCCCTCTCTTCTCTGCATGATTCCCATGGCTGGTTGATAAACAAATTTTTGAAAAGAGAGAGAACTCTTTACCTTACATCCCCCCCAGGACATGATTGAAGGGCATAGAGGACCATCCTGTGGTTTCCCGACTCAGCTCTGGCCTGTGTGTTCTGTGCTCCTTTCTCCACTAGATGGCAGCCAGGGCTTTTCCTTGTTTTTATTTTTATTTTTATTTTTATTTTTGGTTGGGTATGACCATTGATTTACAGTGGTAGAGAATCCAAGTTAGATCTGAAAATGTCAGTTGGGTCTTCAGGAAATGCAGCACTAAATCTAAGAAAGTCTTCTCTTCGCTCCTAAACTCACCCAGTACTTTACTAGTTGAAATGCCAAAATAATCTAGTTATGTTGTCATCTTCTATTTATAACAAAGGATGATTTTTTATTTTATTTATTTTTTTATTGCCAGAGAGAAAAAGAGAGGGAAGGATAAAGCACCCCGCAGTGGGGCGTGGTTGTCACAGTCTGGATTTGAGGCACAGGTGCACGTGTAGCTGGTGTGTCTTTCAGGCCACAGGCCCAGAATTCGAACTGCAGTTAGCCTATGGGATTTAGCTCACTCAACCACTAGGTCATCGAGCCAGCTAAGGATAAACTGCTTAAATTAATCACTATACATAAACTTTCACTTTGATAGAAGTGGAAATTTAGCATTAACTTAAATTCTTAATATTAGAGAAAATGAAAACGTTTTAGTTAAGTGTAGCTGTCTATACTTAGAATAAAAGTTACTTCCTAATCCCAGATCTATTTATTTTTAATAGTAAATCACATTTCTGTGTCCTGTGATTTACTATAGTAGATCTTAAAATTTAAACAATGACATTAAAAGAACTAGTACTTATTTATTCTGTTCCCAAGGCCCACATAATCCCTTATTTGAAGCAAGTGCCTCTAACACAGGAAGAACAGGGGCCATCTGGACCATTAAGTAGGAGGAACTATTTGAAGAGGGTTTCCCATCTACAGAGTGAAGAGAAGGTACAGGGACAGAACCATAATCTTAGCACCGACCTCGCACTTTCAGAATACTCAGCTTGGAGGTTTCTTTGGCAATTTGTAAGAGGTGAACTTGAAATTAATTAGTGGCTTGTAGGCTTCTGCAGCTTGTGTCCTGAGAGTAGATCGAGTAAGGGTCTAAGTACTGTCAGGGAGGATTCTGACATGCAGGGGCTTCAAGAAGTTCATGGAAGAATGTGTATTACGAAATGTGTGTTGTACATGGATTTCACTTTTTTTGGTACTAGAATGAACTCATAGTTCAATTCTTTTTTATCTCAAACTTTTTGAAGTCCTTCATAAATCATGTAGAAATAAAGGAACTGAGATTCTTGCAGTGTGAGCCTTGAAAAGAGAATGAGAATCTAACATTCACCCAGCTTCTTACGGAGACGACCGGCCAGTGAATTGTCCTGACCTGTTTCCTGTCTGGTGGTGACACTTGATCTTGGCCTCCTCCTTTCTCTCCCACCCCCGAGTTTCTTAACCTACTTTCTCCAGAAGGAGAAAATTCTGAGTGTGCTTGTCTACCAACATCGTCCACTCAAGCCAGCAGTTCCCGGCATGAGAAGTCCAAAAGATCTTGTTAGACATTTTGAGGTCAACAAACAGTAGATAATGCATTCAGCATCCTTTAACTGGGCAAACATGTAATGATAAAAAAAAAAATCCACTATTAGTATTTAAACATTGAGAGGCTCATGAAACTTGCGTAAAGGATGTTAAGTTTGGGGAGGATTTGTTTCTATCAAATTCTAGATTCCTTTTTAAAAAGTTAATAGAGCTTTGATAATATTTTCAAATAAGCACAGATATTCTTACAGTAATGTGAAACGACAACAAATAATGGTGTGGGGTTCACTTGGGGTTCAATGAACTTAGCCTGCTTAGGTCCACACAGCAGTGGGCGACCTGGCGGTGTCGCGGCAGGCCCCAACCACGGACCGTGTCTCATGGCTCTTGCCCTGTCTGCAGACAACTTTTGAAGAATAGTAAGGAGAGTAGATGAACTATCACTTCTTTTTGGCACCTGGGTTGGAAGAGACAGTTGATCTAAATGAACATTTGATATTATCTCGAGCTATGCTAATTATAGATGGTGAACTACACTAGCAATATTACTGATAGAAGGAGAATATTATAACAGTCTATCTCTTTATATTATCTTCAGGATCACGTTTTGGTGATTATCCTCTGCTTTTTGTTTTTTTTTTTAACTGTGTGTGTCGAAGTCAGGATTGTTGTTATTTAGGCTCTAGATGCTCGCTGTCTTTATCCTTATTTAGAACATGCATTACAAGTGGTCGGATGTATCATAATGATCCTAAGAACTAACCTTATGAAAATGTGTTTCTCTTATCTTCCTCCTCTGGATTCATTCTAAAAATAAATTTTCCTTCTAGGTGGTAAGTTTTTCTCCATAATTTTAGATACAGCTTCCCTTGCATCATGATGGCTTGACTTACTGTTTCAGCGTCTGTCTGACTTACTAGCATGGCCCCTGCGAACTTGACTCACACGGAAGATAACACGAATATTTCTTCTGTCTGTCTCCTTCCCCTTCTCCTCAATGCTGTACTGCCTCGGCTATCACCTCATTACTTGGTCCAGTACCAGAATTCTCTTCTTGGGCTAATCGACTAATCACCCATTTTCCCTGACTCCCCTCCCTTTGTATCTAACAGTCATGGCATGACCTTTCTGGTGCTGAGACCGGCCTGTCCTAATGCCATCTGTGGGGAAGGGCTAACTTGGGAAATGAACGAAATGAATTTCTTTCGGTTGTTCTTTGTGAATCTTTTTTTTTTTTTTTTTTTTTAAACTCTAAGGAATGGTGCACTGAACATGCATTGGTATGGGCTTTTGTTTGGCCTGCTAATTTGTTCCTAATAAAATGATGGAATGTATACTAATATAAGACTTCTAATATAGACGTCAATTGTTACATGTGGGCATGCCTTTCTATCTTTTTCTGATGGATCCTTTTATTCACCAACAATTAGAGTATGCCTACTCTGTTCCAAGTTCTGTGCCACCTGGGCAAGGATCAAAATGATTGAGACATGTTCCTGGAAGCCAAGTCTCGTCTCTGATGGTGCTGGTCGGGCCAGCGTACGTCAGTCAGGTTCCGAAGCTATGGTAGAAGGGAGTTGAGGTGCTGTAGTGGAAATACCCTCTGGTGGTATTTTAATTTCACCTTGGAATATAGTTAAAGCTCACCACTTAGGCTAGGAAAAAAGAGTCCAATGTATCTTTTTTGAGAGACATATTTTTTCAATTAAAAAAAATGATTTGTCATTATCTTACCAGTGGTATCAACTTTTCTTTTTCTCAAGTAGTTTATTCTCTTATAATGGATATTTTGTATTAGATCACTGGGAAAGTTATGAGGTATTTTTCTATTTCTTTTTTGGGGAGGAGCAGGTTTTTGCTATAGGGTGCGTGTGCTCACCAGAAAGACAGAGACAGACAGACAGAAAGCGAGAAATCACTCTCCGGGGGGATGGCCATGCCACAACCCCTTCTCCTCCATTGTCCTCTCGGGATCTTGGGCACGCACACACACACACATGCCCAACATGAGTTTAAGCCATTGGGTCCGAGTTTCGAACCACGGTCGACTACATGGGAGTCCAGCGACAAAGCCATTATGCCAACTGCTGGTCCCTGTTTTTTTGTTGTTGTTGTTTGTTTGTTTGCTTACCTGACAGTCCAATAACTGTGGTCACATGACTACTTCACTAAATAATCTCTTTTATTTTTAAAATATCTCTTTAGCTGCAAAATGCATATGCAAATTAAACTTCTGTTCAAACAATGTAAATGTCTATGTTGAAAACAACGTAGAGGTTTTTTTTTTCTTTCACTAAATTAGACCTAAGTTGTTTTAAATATTGCTTGAACTAAAGAGTTGAAAATCCTTGGTTCTTTTTTTGTTGTGTAAACTTTGCATTTTATTGGAAATGATATGAATAAAAGGATTTTACTTGTTAAATTGAAACTGGACTAATTCTGAACTAGTCTTCAAAAGTGTTATGTTGAGGACAACTTGCTACTTCTTGGATCACAGTTGGTCAGCATTCAGCCATCCTGCAAGAATGTCGCCCTGGCTGCAGGCAGGTGGCAGAGGCAGTAGAGCAGGCAGGAACCTCTCCATAGGGTTGGCATTCCTAGTTGGTAGAAGTTGTAGACATAGAACTGAGTTGCAATGGAAAATGAGATAGAGAGGAACAGAGTCACTTGGCCAATTTCACAGCTAGAAAGTCTCAAGAGAAAGGCAAACTGATGGCTGGCCACAGTCAGACCACAGTCTTAGGTAGGAACCAGTGCAACGTTTTTAATTACGATTTTCTGACAAAATCAACCCTCTGACCCTCCGACATGAGATGTTTGTTCACAGAGGCATCCAGGATTCCATGCTCTCCATATTGGCAGGAGTTAGCCCACCATGTGCAATGTGTGCAAGAAGCAGGGGTGTGGCTCTTCTGGGGTGGCGGCAGTCTCTACTCAGGGTGAGCCTTCTGCAAAGACTCATCCTTGGGATGCTTAGGGCGTGGGGAGCTCTGAGCTTAATATATTAGGTAGAACATTACTGGCTTTTTTGGTGTTGGGTTATAAGTCTGATAAGGGGTAAAACCATGATTTTAACCATACTGGTAGAAGAAAGAAGTCAATGACCCTCTGGGTGTCTAAATTTTAAATGGTAAATATGTTAAATGGTGGATAAATATACATCAGTAGTGGAAAATGATTGTTTATTATGCAGTTATATAAATTGTTATTTAAAAATGTAATGCTTGGACTAGCAGTTGGTGTAGCAATTACATTGCTGGACTTCCATGTAGTTGACCACTGTTCAAGTCCTGGACC